ATGTTTTATTGGATGTTTACTAATTTGAATAATTGTGTTTATATTCTTGTATCGAATAAGTGTATGAATTAAATTACAATGATAAATTAATTATTACTATTTTGAGTTATTTGAGGGTAAGTGATCCTAAATTCAATATATTGCTCTAAAAATCAGTATCTATTCTGGATAATAAAATCAAACAGTATAAACAGTACAGTTGTAATTTAAAAATTAAGAAGATTATTATTTTATTAATTTTCTACTTTTCTATTTTTTACATTTTATTTAAATTCATATGTCGCAAATGATCATTCAGAATATTTTCTTCTTTTTGCTTAAAAACTATATTTTTGTCATAATTTTCTTTAAAATTGTGATCTTATTTAGTATTATTTTTTTAATACATATTGAATGTGACGAACAACTTTGTATTTAAAGCGCGTTCTTATTTCGCTATAAAAGTTTCATAATTTCGTCAAATTTTCAAATTCCGAAAAATCATTTCACGAGTATACTTTGCTTACATAGGAGGCTGAAAAACTACATAATTTTGATGATTCTTTGATGAAAATTTTACATAAAAAGAAAAAAAGAATTTATAATTGAGGAAGCTTCCGGTTTTATTTTAACAGTTTTATAGGTTTTTGATTGAATAACAATTATTTAAAAAATATGTAACATATGTACAAAAGAAACATATTTACATTGCATATTTATAAAGAAGTAAACATATTTTAGTAATCGAACTGTTCGAGGAAAGTGGAAAATGATATCAAATATTTTTTGAAAATTTTAACATTCTGAATATCTAATAATATTCTGAATATTTATTTAACGATATAATACATTCTTGAAGTATTTTATCCAATAATTAGCAATTTTCGTTTTCCACGTGTTTGTATAAATCAGGAATACCCTTTTCCTTTAATTTAAATTTAATATTTTTTTTTTTATGGACGAGTAAATAAAAAGCATTGCATCATCTCAATTTTTGGAATATTGAGATGAAATTTTAGAAAATTTTTACACCTTTCATAAAGGTTAAAGACGATTTACTGGTGAGGTAAAGTATCCTTTTTCCAAAACTGTCCTTAATTATTTAACATTGACAGTCAGCAAGAAATCTAATACTGGTTAATTTTTATTATTCTACTTTTTGTAGAGGGATATTAATTTTTATTGATTTTTAACTATTTCTAAATTAATTCTATATTAACTATAATATAATATATAATATGTAATATAAATTAATTTTATATTAACTGTAATTTTATATAACTATAATAATCCAATATTAATAATAGCTATAAAGGGGAAAAAAGAATATATGATACGTAACGAAATTTATCATAGAGAAGAATTCTTGAATCCGTTAAGCTAACATACAATTCTGTTATCATCCTGGCCTTATTCCTTGCCTTGTTCCTTTTTATCTCTACATACCATCGTCGCTTTCTCTTGCTCAAGTCTTTCCTGTGATCTATCTCCATTTTTCTATGAAATATTTACCCTTCCAACCCTTTATCTACCCTTTATCTTCATATACTACATGTTCTTTCATCAAATCATAACCTTTATCTTCTTTTCACCTTTCACCTTGCGTTGCTTCTTGTCTCTGAAGGCTTTTGAATGGGCAGAACAGTTTGAAATTTTGAAAAAATCCACCTTTTTATCTTAAAAACCACCTTCTTCTCAACCACACATAGTACATACGCCGATGCGTAAAATCGCGAATCAGTTTTCGCTTTCTTACATCCAAAAATAATTTCTTTTTAAGGCTGGCATCTTTTGTATATTACTTTTAACCCTTTGCGCTCGAGGGGTGCCCTTCAGTCGCCATCTGATCAAATTTCGAAGCTCGATATTCATAAATACGTGAAATTTCAGATAATGTAACGATGTGCGAGGTATCGAAATCAAATAATTCTACGTGCCAATTATTATACTATTTCTTATTTACTGTTCAAAAAAATATTGCCAGTTTCATAGTAGAATATCTTCGAACTCCTACTCTTCTGTAGCCAAAAAATTGTCGAGTGCAAAGGGTTAAACCGTATTTAGTATTATTTTACACCCGCACCGTCACGAAGAGAGGACACTTACCTTCTGTACTGCGAGGATGCATTTTTGGGACATTCGCTCACTAACTGAATATAATACTTATTCGACAAGAGAGCAGGGCCAGCGTGATTTTTCGCTGGGCCGGGTTCAAAAATTTTGCGGAACCAGAATACATATTTAAATCCGATATGGTATCGGTAAATGGTATGGTACCATCATTCTCTAAAAAGTTAATCAAAATCGGTGTTTTCTAATTGGGTGATTTCCTTAACACCTAATATCTTCCGCATCCGTGTTGCAGTCGTATCAACCTTTGGTGTCAACGTTTAATGTCAACGTTTAGAACACGCTGCAACGAAATATTTCAATGCAAAGATGGCAGAGAAAATCTTGCACTCGTGTCAGTGTACAGCAAGCTGTACCATATCCAATTAATTCATAATCGATTAATGAATTATGCGATTGTATTTTCTACACACATCCGAATATTCGATCTACTATACAGGGGGTCCTGCAAAATGTCTGATGAGTTTTCGTAAACCGTGGGGCCTTTCAAAACGCGGGGCCAGGTTCCGGTGAACGCGCCGAACCTGCCTCGCGCCGGCCCTGTGTATATTACACACAAAGAATCATAGTAACTCGTGTAAAATGTACAGGTTGAAAGCTTTTGACAAACATATAGGTAGCGTATCAAACTACAAATTTCAAACAATATATTGTTACTTGCAATGTTATTTCAAACAATATTTTGTTTGATAATATGACAATCAAAAGGTGCTACGTTAATTGCAGTTCAAGTAAAACGTGTAATTAATCAAGGAAAATGAATTAATAACAAACTCGTTGGATTCAATCAATTTCAATTTCAAACTTCATTTAAAAATTGTATTACAAATTTGAATACGTTTCGGTTTGACTGAGTTTGAACAGGTTTATATAGGTTCGGGAGTTAAATATTAAGGAGAAAAGTGCAACCTAACCTAACCTAACCTAACCTTCCTCGCGCCGGGCCAGCAAAAGAGACTCTGTCTATTTTAATCTCCTACATTATTTTATATATTTCTATCTTTTTGTATACATTTTATATATTTTATATTTGCATGTAATTTAATTAAATAACTATATTACGAATTAAATTTGTATAAATTAATTATAAAAGCCTATCTAACTGAACGAAAAATATCGCCGGAGATGAATGACTCAGCAACGACAAACGTGCTAAAGAGGGTCAAATTTTGAAAAATTTTTTCTTTTCCGATATTATTGGGTCGACTTTAGTTTCCAAGATATTAACAAAATTCCATTCCTACTACTATATAGAATTCAGCAAACACGTACACCTCTGTAGCCGCGTGTACGACAACGTTGGTCCACTACTTATCTGCTGTTTAGGCAAACATAATGTCGTGATTAGCGAGCAGTCTTGATGTATAACGGGTGAGCTATTCAGAAAAGTATCTGTATCTCTGAACGAAGTATTTTGGATACTTTGTCCGATATTTTGGGCTACTCGGCTAGCATTTGACGTTGTTAGATGTTTTCCGACTGTGGCCTGGACTAGTTGTGAATCATGCGATCTCCTACTTCGATAAAGAAAATTTTCTAAAATATCTCCTTAAAAATTCATTTTTCGGTTATGTGTTCCTAATATCTTTTTACGCAGAATAGAAAGAATTTTGTAAAAAAAAAAGAAAAGAAAATGTAGGTATACATTTAGAAAAATTCGTCTTCATCTACTAACACTTTTTCTATCTCCGACCAAAACAAAAATATTTCTTGATTCTGTCGCGTGAATCATTCTATATATTCATACGATAAGTAATCTACGTTCAAAAATTGAATTTTTTTTCTCAGACTGTTACAATTAATAAATTAACCTTTTTATAAAATCTTTGTATTTCGTATTTTACTTTGATAAGCTACTTTTACTCAAAAACTTCGGAACCTCTATAACTCGAAGATTTTGGCATTTCGACTATACTTAAGTAGTATATTAACAGCTTCTCTACCTTAACCAGTTAGCTGTGGCTTTTGAGAGCGCGCACCTATATGTGTCGCGAAAATCGAGCGACGACGAGTATACTCGTCAATCACAGAGTAAGAGTCGCTGTTAAAATATTGGATCAAAAAGATGAGTTTATTTTATAAAATTGACAATTTTATTACTAATATTTAATTATTTGGTTAACATCTATTCTCTTATTGGTCAGTTTTTATGGATATCTATGAATTTTAGTGACCGTCAAAAAGTAGCTAGGTAACTTCGGGCCAGCAGCCATCGATGGGCTCAGCGCCTGGTCAGCGTCACGCATTTGTCCCATGGCGGACCATCCCTGAAGGAACCCTATCATAAATCAGCTTTCCGACTTTTGCTTTTGCCCCTTTTACGCTTACATCTAAAAAACGTTATCATCGTGCATAAATAAATTCATTACGCGAACTGATAAGCTGTTTCAGCCGGTTGCATACGGGGACACGTGAGTTCATCTCAAATTATTCATATTTTTTATTTGTTTGTTTTATTCCGACCTGGCCTCAAAATATTCTAAACATCTTGAAATTTGAGAATATGTTTTATTTTTCACAAAAATTACAATTTAAATAGCCAATGGTCACTACTTTTTACGCGCGACGAGTATACTCGTCATGACACAAAATCCTGCCACTTCTCCGTGACGAGTATACTCGTCAATCACAGTTAACTGGTTAAAATATGAAATACAAAAGTTAATAATCAGCGTAAACAAATCAGTATCATAAGACAGGGTGATGTTATACTACAAGAACATAATATTTATTTTAATAAATAAAATAATATTTAAAGAATGAAATGGCGTATATAGTAATATTACTCGTATTTTATCATATGTATGATGTTTGAAATTATGTGCTTCTATAAATTTTACATGCTGCAAATTATTTCCTTTAAATTTAATAGCGTTACATCTTGTTACTAGATTGCTCGGATAGACGAAGAATGCATCAATGCGTTGTTGACGTTAGAGTACTTGAGCTTGTTGAGTCAAGTAGTACCAAATGAAAAGAATACCGAGATTATTTATGGCCAAGCTCCGCACCATGACATCAAGTTACCGAAAAAATATAAAAATGTCAAGAATAGTAATTGCACCGTTGAAGAATCATGCGAAGGTCTGCCATCTGTCGACGAAAGGATACACATGATGCATTTCTCTTTCGACACACTGAATATATTGCCAAAATGTCAACAAGCCGAACTCTTGTTTTCTATGTTTGCTGACGGTAAGACTTTTAATTACGATATTTAATATTGTTCACTTCAAAGAATGAATGCATGTATACTTCGTACAAAATTATTTGGAAAAATTATATAAGCGAAATAACGTAAAATAAGATGAAATGGAATAAAAAATATTTGAAAGGAAAATGGCAGAAAATAGACACATTTGAAACTTTTTCAACATCTAAAATTTTAATAAAATTTTAATAAAATTCCCCAAATTCCAAGGAATTATAAAATTGTTATTACTTGTAGGAAACAGAATAGAAACGTATAAAAGAAGCAGATAAAAAAGTTATCATAAATAAATTTGTAAACATTTAATTTATAAATATTTGATTTATTGATTGTAAAAATTCGTAAGTTATTTTTATTTTATCATAATTATAACGTTAAGAAAAGAAATAAGGATGTAAGAATTTGAGAAAAATTGTAATTATATTATAATTAATTATTATAATATTAATTTTAAAATTATTTTTTAATATGTAATTATATTTTAATTTAACTTTCTTTAATATAATTGCTATATTTTCAGATTTTTGTTAGAATACTATAATTTACTATTACAATTTACGGTGGTAAAAATTCACGTAGAACTAATATTAGTATGAAGAATCATAATGTTAGTGTATCATGAAAGCAAGAACTCGCAATAAGTTAATTTGAATTTTACTATTATTAAATGATACATAAAGACAATACTTTGATCACGATTACTATATATAGCACGAAAATAATTGCACTTTAAGTAAAGTACTATTATCGATTACCATAATATTTTGAAGTTTAGCTTACGTATTAATTTTAAATGATCATAAACAGGAATTTTTAATTGCTTTTAACATAAGAGAACTGTAGTATTAATTATGTCAATTATGTACATTGAAATTTAGACCAATACGTGTTCAAATTTTCACTATATATGATTCTAATAAATGATTATTTTTCGTTAAATATTTCAAGACTGGTGTTTCAAATAATCTTATCAAAATTTTTTATCGATTTTTTAATCTTCCATTTATTACTTCTTTAATATATCGAATTTTCAAAACCAGCTGTCATTAAGCTGCCTTAATCCATTTTATCTTTAACTCATTTGCATCATGGCTCTACTTAAGGTGCCGTGTTCGGGCTTCAGCGACGTTCAACTGACTACTAGCCCGTATCACTGTGCGCGTATCAGCACCTATTCATAATGGCAGTTAAAAGCATTTTCACGACAAAAGTAAAACTTGTTAAGAATATAATGAACCGATGTAGACAAGATGCTCACAAAAGGGATCAAACGTGATCTGTGGCATATGAAAAATATTCAGCAACTCGTAATGGAAAAAGTCAGTTCGCGGATTATTCCGCGCTCGGTGATTGGCGACAGTCGTAGTTCGCGGAATATTCCGCGCTCGGTGATAGACGACAGATGTGACTCGCGGATTATTCCGCGCTCGGTGATAGACGACAGTCTTGGCTCGCGGAATATTCCGCGCTTGGATGCAAATGGTTTAAACCTATACAAACTTTGACACAGCTTCACAAAAGTTTTCGATACTTTCTAAATATTTTGTTACAATTTTTCTTTAGCTATATATTATTCAAATTTTTAAAAAGTGAAAACTATAAAAAAGAAATTAATTTCTGTTTTTAATTTTAGACCATAACCTCCACTTAAATCTGCAGATGCTGATGTTTTTCCTGTATTTTGTTTTTTATTTTATTTGTAAACTTTATTTACGCTAAACTATCGAAACTACAATAAACAACAAATAATCCTCTGCTTATACACTATTATTATACAATACTTATTCTGAATGTTATTTTAGAAAGAAAATAATTCAATTAGAAAATAAATATTATTTCTAAATAAATAACGTAACATTAAATGACTTTATTTGACACAACTATTTTTAAATTATTTTATTGTTATCAATATTAATATTACGTTAATTTATATTGTATATGTGTGTTATATGTTCCACATGATGCTGAAAAAAATGAATATTACATCATTGTTATTAATTATCATCAATGACGTACTAAATAATCATATTTTATACTTCCTTGGAATTTATGTAACAACGCTGCATTAAAAGTTTAAATTTCGAATGAATCCCAAATTTAGTCATTTTCTATTTCTGCTTTGCTAAAGTTGCCATTTTTCGGTCGTGTACACTTATATTGCACAAATAACAATAGAAAAAAATAATATAGATTATACTATATACTATATAATTAAATTATGATTATTTCAAGGTACAGCTCACAACGATAAAGGTCAAGGAAATGCAAATAAAACATTAATGGACAACTTTCTGGAACACATGAAACAGTTACACAATAAGGAACTCCTATTAACTTCAGCCGAGTCACAAAGGTTCACAAAAATGCTTTTTGATAGACGTCGAATCGGTGGACCACCTTTGCCATTCTTTTCTCAAACAGGTATATTACTTAATTTTTTCACTTTTCATTTTAATTTGAAAATTATACAACATTTCTCTCTTATATCATCGAAATGTATTTTTCCAATATATATTAATGCTATTTCTTAATCAGTCAGCTGTGTTTGACGACTATATCCGTCATTCGTAAAATTTAGTCACCATTTGATATTTAAATTGTAATTTTAGCGGAAAATAAAATATATTCGTAAATTTCAATATGTGGATAGAAATGGACACTAATATCTTCTACGTTTTTCAACAGTTAACACATTCATAATAATTTAATTAATAATATTTAATTCGTAAATATTTAACATATTTAGATAAAAATATTTAAATAATGAAAACAACGCGCAATAAACTATTTTAAACAAAAAATGACTGACACTTTCTAGAAAATTCTTCTCTCTCTCTCTCTCTCTCTCTCTCTCTCTCTCTCTCTCTCTCTCATATACACACACTTATTAACTGTTACATATTTATGTTTTCTCTTTGACGATTCTCACATAACTGCTTTATTTTGGCACACATTTGTAAACATTTTTTCAACAAATAAATAAAACGTGTAAATAATTTGAGATGGATTTATGCATTTCCTTATGCACTGGCTGGAACTGCTTCTTGGTTTGTAGAACCAATTTGTATATGTAAAACGCGTAAAAGCAAAAGTCAAAAAGCAATTAGCCCAACGCTAAAGGCTGAGACTCATTTGAGCTGTTCACTGCACAAGTCGATTAACTCCACTTTCTGAAAAATCTTAAATTTAAGTATCAAAGCACTTGGTATAGTCATAACTCTTTATATTTATAATAACTTTCCCTGATAATTAAGATTAATACCATTAAACGACAAAAATTTTTTGGCCACTGAATAATAAATAATTTATTTCAGAGGTCACTTTGATTAACTCCGTACTCTAATGTAAATCGTTGCAATAATGCAACTCAAATGCACTAGCAAGCCATGAATGATAACGGTGAATTTTTTAATGCCGTCTTATCAGAATTTAAGTAAAATTTAGTAAAATTTAAATTTATTACTTTTTTCACTTGCCAAATCGATTAACTCTTCCAGTAACATAAAAATGGTAACATTACTAACGATTACCTTTTGGCTATTTTTTCTTATAAATTTTATATACCGTTAGATGAAAGTTACCTTTGTATTTATGCATTCTACAATATTTATTTCGATTTAAATTATAAAGGGAATTTTAAAAAACAATGTACATTATTTCATTGCATTTCTCTACTCTTTGTTTTATGGAGTTAATCAATTTATGCAGTGAACGGCTCAAATAACGCTGTTTGCTAATAGTCATTTATTCGAGCAACATAACAAAGGTAGAACAATGTCAGTCACTGCATCATAAAATTAAGAAAAATTACATTGCTAGCCTGAGAATTATTGCCTGCAAGTAAATTGTGGTAGTTAACCCTTTGCACTCGAGAAGCCACCCTCAGTCACCATTTAAACAGATTCTAAAGATCGATGTTAATTAATATATCAAATTTAAAATGACCCAACGATGCGTGAAATGTTGAAGTAAAATAATTCTACGTTTTGATTTACATACGATTTCTTATTTACCGTTTTACAAATATCGTCGACATTATGGCAGAAAGTCTTCGAATTACTATTCTCCCGTAACGAAAAAATCGCCGAGTGCAAAGGGTTAACCCTTTCACGAATAAGCATTTCGGCCGTCTTCGAGTGACTTCCATTTAACTCACTAGCGCCACCACAACTCGTATCTACGATAAGCGTTTATCGTAAATATCGTATATATCGTTGAATCATTTTCTAATTCTACTGATATAATCTTGCAATTTTCTTCTTACTACGTGTGTCATATTGTTTGCACAATATTATTTTAACAAATTTTTCAGCGTACATTTACGACCGAAATCGAATGAAAAGATTAAAGTTAATATGGTTATTAAATGATTAAACGATTAAATGATAATATCGACACAGGATTACCAGGAATAAATAACTCCTCGTGTCGACATTATTTATTAATACTGGTAACGTATGAGAAAATGCAATGTCAATATCTCATGCTTACATATACTTGTTTGAGGTTAGGTTTTCGAATAACTAAGTACACTGCAACTTATTAAGCAAAAAAATTAAGCATTTATTAAAAGAAAAAGAAAGCGAAAATAACTTAAACAAACAGAAAGAACAAAACAAAAGGAAACAATCCTTTGGTCTTTTTACATCACACACTTCCAGCACCAGTACCAGGCATACACGAGCACGTGGTCATCGCATTCTCATACGCTACTCAACTCTACTCTCCCACTGTTCCGTCGTGGAACAAAGAAGACCCGTTACGGTCTTCCAACAGCCAGGTCTTAGGGTCAAACAATTCGGCATTGGAATTTCCCGCTCCATGCCTTCAGCATGTTTGACTGCTTTACCTTTTTTCTTTGACATCTCGTGTCGCGGAACACGAGAATCCTGGAAATCCCTAATTTAACGAAATTAGGCGACGGCTCTTAAGACTTGGCTGACAATAGGCCTGAGGGCTCCACGTGGTCCGCACACGTTGGAAGCCTCAGGCCCTCGCTAGGGGTAATAAACGACCGATGGGGTCACCAGCGCGCGGGTGGACCCCAGGTACCCCACCTTGGAGGAGAGGGTTTCCTCCACTATCGTTGCTTTTTGGGGAACCTTCCCTTTCTCCAAGGTCACCGATTTGCGAACCAAGGGAACGCCCTTGGTCAAAAACAGCCAATCATATTTGGCGAGCTCCCGATTTTTCCTAAGGCCGATCTTAGGAAGATCGAGGAGCTCAGTTCCGTACGAGATCCGAGAGACACGGGTTCTCTCAAAGACACTTCCTCTCGAAACATCGAACACACCGGTTCTTTCTAAACTTCTTCCTTTCGACACGTCAGAGACGACGGTTCTCTTCTAACACGAGACGATTTTCGTATCTCCTCGTTAAGTCGACGAGATACCGTGTCGCATCGAACCGTCCATCCACATCGGGATATCTTCGCGCCTTACAACCGCGAAGACGAATTATTTCTGGCGGAAACCACGCGACCAGGAAGATCAAGGGAACGTCGCGATACCCCCTTGATACCTCCAACACGCTACATGCACACCAACACACCAAACCGATGCCACTAGGCACCGAAGCACGATTACCACTCTAACAATACTGTTGTCGAGGGATTAAAGATATTAACTTTTGTACGAACATTTATCTAACTGTTTTAACCCCTCATGAGGTATTCCATTGCCACTTAAACGGGACACCTTGTACAAACATACAATCTTGTATTTAGCAACGAATACGTACAAAATACTGAAATATATCTACTAATTTTAAAATGTGATTTTCAGAGAAACCGTCTTCCAATACTGAGCCCAACTTTTACCCCCGTTGGAAATGTTTCATCAAAGGCATCAGCACAACCCACGTAATTATCACGATCTTGCCTGCATCAGAAAAGGACGTACGGTTGTTCATGTCCCCTTCGAACACAGAAGATCATTTAACGAGCAATAATTCGGAAAAGAACTGCGAGACTGTTACATTCAAGATGGATCTATGCGAAAACTATCTATATTCGAAAATTCCCACGACAGATATTAACGTGACCGATTGCTCTACAAACGACGACTCGAAATTGTATAGTCACTGTATCGAGGACAGTGCAACTGAAACGGACGCGCAGAAAAGATTTCACGATTACGAAGAATCCCTCGTGATTCCTGTTTACGTGTACGACTGCTCGCTGGCTCTGCTAATCGATACATTGGTCGATAAATTAAGAATATCGCATAACAAGGATATTTATCAGGACCACACGTTCAGAGTCGGTCAGCAAGATTCCAAAGATTTCGTCGAATTGAAGACAGATTATAATTCGAAACCTTCCACTCCGGAGCCAAAAAGCGAGGATTCTGACAATACATCGGGTGGTAAGTAAAAATGTCGACAAGTTTGACAATTGTTCGTTTATAACATACCCTTGGAGTACAGTCAAGTCTCCTATAACGCGATGGAAACGATATTATAAGAAAATCAGAATTAATTGAAATCAGGAAATGCTTTCCATGTAAACCGCGTTATGAGAAACATGGTAATAAGACAAACTAGATTAATTTATACCGCGTTATATAAAAATCGTGCTATAAGAAACTCGGAAATAATACAAATTGAACGAATTCGTACCGCGTTATATGGAATCTCGGAAATAAGTAAATTGTACACAAATCAGACTTATATAAAAACTGCATTCTCAAAGTACCAAGTTGCGATTGATACGGTTAATAAATAAAATTTTGTAATAGAAATAGCAATGAATATCTAGATTTTTACATATTTGAATTTAGGTTTATCGAATATAATGCACAGCTCGTGTAATAAAATTATAAACTAAAAAAATTGTTTCCAAGAAAGAAACTTAATTTGATACATATTAGTGACGCATCCTAATTTAAAATAGGATTATAACGTGTTAAAATTAAACGGTTTGTTACTTTGTTTTATATAATTATCTTTCCAGCGCCTATCAAAGTCCTTATTAAAATCTTTTCTGTCATAAGTTCTCTTATGCATCAATGTTATTCCACATTTCTTCATATTTATATTTATTTCTGAAACAAACGTTTTATTCTCAAACACTCGTATGAAACCGCTTCAGTCTGATCAGAATTCAGACGTTCTTATCGTGTGGTTCATAGATCGAGGATACCACAATTAGATTGTTTTATTATTCATTGTCACTGTCAAATATTTGCAGTCTAACCCTTTGTTTTTAATTGACAGAAAATCCTCCTCACTTTGGAAATTTTCTTTTTGATTTTCAAATGTAGTTTTATTTTGTTTGTATATCGTCGTTAGGTCGTTCTTGTTTGACGATTAATGACGGACGGTTCTTTGAGGAGATTGTGTTTGGCTTAGAAGTAGTAAGTGGACTGTGTTTCTATCTTGCTATCGCGTGTTTTTATATTCTACGAGTTAATAGGTCTAGCCTTTATGTAGACCCTTGGTTGGGCTATGTAATTTGTAATTGGATGGAGTTTCCGAATTTGAGGTATAAGGGTAGGGGTTACAAACAGAAAACCGAACTGAAGTATTCCCCTATACTTCAGGTACTTGGCGTATTTGGTGGCCAAGCGTCGAGGTGCCATCGCGTTTTACCTGGATACGAGGTCGGCAATAAGATTTTTCCTGATGAGTAATATAAGAAGTAATATTTCAAGGATTAATCCTTTACACTCGACAGGTACTTCTCAGCCGCCATTTTATCAGATTCTAAAGATGGATATTAATTGATATATGAAATTTACAATTATCCAATGATGCGTGGAACATCGAAATAAAATAATTCTACGTCTTAATTTCTATACCATTTCTTACTTACCGTTTTAAAATTATCGTCGACTTTATGACAGAAAGTCTTCGAATTATTTCTTTCCTGTTGTTCCGTCCCGGAGAGTGTGTTTATAACATGATTTTTATTCTAAGGCTTACACTTTTAACAGACCTAACGGTTTACGATATATTTTATATCGCGACTGCAATTCCGGAGGATAGATGTGCCTCACCGCCATTCTAGCGGATTAAGTTGTAAAGGTAAAGGCGAAAGTTTAGGAATTTTTACAAGTACCAGACTCGACAGATGGGACTCACGTGTGACAGACCCAACAAGCGACGGACGGACACCACTTATAAATCACGTCATTGACCATCAAAAATCGGCTCCTTGATAGTTTCCTACTCCTTAGCCAAAGGTCCTTCCGTCACACCCTCTGTCCAATTAAAACTCCTTACTTTTCCACCACCAACGTTTATTTTGCCCAATCAGAACTAAACTGGAGAAAACACCGGACAGGACACGACGAGACACGACATAGATCAAATTCGAGAAATCGGTTCGTCTTCGACACCGATCCTTGAAACATCTTACTTACACGTATAAACGCGTGTTCGAAACGGTACTCCGTTCAACGTCTCCGTTATAACTATTCTATACTTTTCTATAAATAAACGCTCTCTTTTATCAACGCACACTTCGGGATCCTTATTATTACAACTAGTCACGCGATATTAATTTGGCGCGTGATAAGCGTCCTAGGACATCGAAGGGATTCGATACGGTAGAATATCTGTAACGAAAAAATCGTCGAATGCAAAGGGTTAAGCGTGACTATGTCGTCAGTTAGCAGATTTCCTTATAAACAAGAATAATTCCATGAAATTTAATTTCATTCCCTTTTTACTATTAAAAATGTTAATAGTGAGCTTTTTACCATAGCTCAGTAAGCTTTTTCATAATTATTTCTAAAACTTCGATGTATGAATTTTGAAAATATTCCTATTACATTTACCATTTCCATGTCATTGCTCACATTTCATAATTTATATCGTAATCACGTTCACGGATATTGTCATTTTCGATTTTATAATTATTACGTTTCTTGAAAACTCTTGTTACGATAACTCTGTTAATTCTCAACCAATTTTCATGACATCTATCAGACACATCTGAATGAATCATGTTTCGTATGACGAGTCATCCTTTTTAATTTTCCAATCTTGTAAATTTTTATTTACAAAGATCGGATCAAGTATTTACGTAAAACGTGATTTTTAAACTGGAAATAACGTTATCTTTTCAATTCTTTCATTACTCAAAAAAGGTATATCTATCTTTGAGTGTTTCTCTAGAACGACTGACCGATTTGTGAAAGAGTGTCAAGAGGGTACGTGACGCAGTTCGCCTAAACACCCAATTCTTATCTAATGCTTATATAAACATTCGTTCTCGGAATTTAGGTCTTATAAGCTATTTATTCTTATTTTATTTGTATACGTTTCTTTGTAACACCTTATATAAAGTCTAAATAAATTAAAAACTTTTAAATAAAGGAAATAAATTCTTATCAGGAGAACTGATAAAAATAATTAAAAGAAAATCCGCGATAGGAAGAAATTGTTATAAGATTCAACGATAGTAACATTATAAAGAAGACATCGAAATACTTGCAATACGATGTGTTTCACACGAGTACAGGACTAATACGATGATTAAAAATTAAAGAAATTCGATGGAAGAATGAAGCGATTTGATAGTGATATAATCTAACAGAGAAAAGAAAAACTGAATTAGGAAGAATAGGGTATTAAAGTGTGTATACGTTTTTCTGGAACACCCTGTATTTTCTTCTCCTTTTGTTTTGTAGGAACGTAAATTTATGTTATATTACCTTCTGTCGTGGCCACCTATTTACATAGCATAAATAACGTTGGCATTGAAACTCAAAAATTTCTAATGGAAATTAATGTAGGATGGCGAATACTGGTCTTGAGACACCGAAAATTATCGAAAGAACAAGAACGCAATAACACAAACTCAAAACTCGTAAACTGATTTAACTTAGGAAAGGAACACCAAGATAACGAAATGAAATCACACAAGGACGCACTCTTTTAAAACTCTTTTTCCAACACCAAGCGACTCACGCTTGTGCTGGTCACAACCGATTTCTAAGGACTCTGTTTTGGTTGTCAAGGACCACGTTTTTATGCTTTCCTTGATCTACGCTTCACCTCCCCGTAGAGGAGTCATGCAACTTAATTTTGTTATATAGAATAACTTTTCGATTTGCTTCTAGAAGATATCGATCGGTTTACAATTTGTTTTTGTTGGCAATAGCCGATTCGCGATTTCTTTTGGTATCCTACATTGATGATAAATTTCTTTATTGCAGATCAACGAAGCCTTATGGAGCATTGTAAACTGTTAAGTTTGGCACACTGTCACTGCTATGTGGTTGCGGTTTATAAATCATTGGTGCTACAACAACCTCTTACTTACGACGACATGGAAGCTGCTGTAGAGCAATGCGAGGAAACTCTGATTGAAATTAATATAACGAATTATCTCCGATCCGTATGTAGGCATTTGAGCAAATTATCGGAGAAAGACTTATTAGACAAATTGAATCCTTTTGCGTGCGACGATGTTAAGCCGTTGCACAATTTAATTAAAGAGAAATTTGAACGGATAATCACAGTCGCCTTTAGAACTGTGCCTGCACATCCAGAATTTTATTATTGCTCGCCATCTTGGTCCGAGAATGAAACGGTTTGTTTTTAAACCAGCATCTGCTCGAGTAATACCAACTGCTTGCATTTATTAGTAAATAAACATATTATATTTGACAGGACCACGCAGAATTTCAAAAATCGGACAGCGATAACGAAATAGAGAACCTTATGTTCCATTCGAATATTGATTGCACATCGCACAATATTAACGGAAAAGGTAAATTGTATAAAATGTATAAAAAGAAAATATTTTTCTTCTTTTAACACGTTGACTGCCATGGGGGTCACCGGTGACCGGCACTCGACTTTGCTACAGCGCCGTGGGGGCCCCCGGTGACCAGCGACGCCATCATTAGTAAAAATACATAATTAGAGTAAATATCGATACTGATAAATTTTTAAATAGTACCATTGTTACTATAATGATTCGAAGAAATTAATGCCATACAGAACATGCAAAAATAATTTTATTTATACAAAGAAAAGGTGGACCAAAACAGTCGGCACAATATGTCGCCACTTTTTTCACTTTGCAAAATCGCCTTACATTTCGCACACTTCCAGGTTTCTTTTTAAATTCGTGACGACGTTTTTTCTGTACGTAATTGCTCGATGAAATGCAATCTTCGTCATCGGAACATTTCACTAAATACATCGCTAACTTCATCCTAAAATCGGGAATTGAAATATTTTTTCGAGTGGCTTTTTAAACAATTGATAATGGCAAAAATGGTCTACAGCGCTGCGGGGGTCACCGGTGACCCCTACCACGAAAAATACATTAAACGCGATTATACAACTCACCTTATCTGTTGTAAATAATATTTCAACATAATATGCATCGCATAATAAAATATTCATGTTGGCACCATGGGTAAACCACGTAAAATGCGCGCGGCAGTCAACGTGTTAATTACGATTGCCACAAAAGAGCTGATATAAAATGAAGATACTACAATTGATATTTAACCCTTTGCACTAGACGACTTTTAGATTACAGAAAAGGGCAAAAATTCCGACATTTACTGCCATAAAGCTGACGATATTTTTTAACCCTCTGCACTCGGGAGGCGCCTCTCAGTCGCCATTTAATCACGTTCTAAAGATCGATGTTAATTAATATATCAAATCTGAAATTACTCAACGATGCATGGAATGTCGAGGTAAAATAATTCCACGTCCTAATTTGCATACAATTTCTTATTTACCGTTTTAAAAATATCCTAGACTTTATGACAGAAAGTCTTCGAATTACTATTTTTCGTGAACGAAGGAACCGCCAAGTGCAGAGGGTTAAAACAGTAAATAGAAAATCGTATAATAGTTATCACGTGGAATTATTTCATTTTAATACCTCGCACGCTATTGTATTATTTTAAATTTAATATTATTAAATTTAACCCTTCGATAAAACTTCGAAGCTCGATATTAATTAATATATCAAATTTAAAATAATGTAACAGTGTGTAAGTTATCGAAATTAAATAATTCTGCTTGTCAATTATTATAAGATTTCTTATTTACTGCTCAAAAAATATCATCAGCTTTATAGCAGAAAATTTTTCATCTCGTACCCTTCTTTAGCCAAAAAATCGTTAATGGTCAAAGGGTTAATTAACATTAACATTAACATAAATTTAATTAACATCGATATTCAAAATATTAGGTGAAGTGAAAAGAAATCCATTATTTTTGAATGAAATTGAATGCAAAAATAATGAATTTCTTTTTACTTCACCTAATATTTTGAACATCGATGTTAATTAAATTTATGTTAATGTTAATGTTAATATTAATTAACAATTAACAATGTAATGTTAATGTTAATGTTAATTAATTATTTTTGCATAAAAATTGAATGTAAAAATAATAGATTTCTTTTTACTTCACCTAATATTATTAAATGGAGACTAGTGGTTGCTTCTCAAGTGCAAAGGGTTAATTCTTTCTTTCTTTCTTTCTTTCTTTTTTTTTTTTTTTAAGTGAACAAGTTTAAAATATTTCCTTCATTAAACAATGTAAACTTTTTCTTTTTCGTTTTTACTCTTAATCCTTTCCGGATGCATGTCTGCGGATACAACGTAGCATTCTTACCTGGACCTATGTCTACGTCTAGTTGCTCAAGTATTTTTATACTTTTGTATAAAAATGTCTGTATATAAATAAACTATAATTATAGTCTTCTTTATATTTATAGTAAATTTCTTAAATAAATAATAAATAATAAATAATAAATTTCTTAAATCGAAAATTTGGTTTCTTTGGAAACTATTTTCGCATGATCGCAGACCCATCCATAATGGATTAATATTAAACATGTTCAATATTAAAAATTTCTTAAGCAAAGAACACAGATATTTTATTAGCGTAATTTTTAACATATCGGATAAATAAGTAATAAATAATAAATATATTATTTGTAATTGTACAAGCAGGAAATGTAACATGGCCAGCCAGGAATGTCAACAATGTCTCGAAAATTTCAAGGCATGGCTCATCGGAATCCGTGGACAGTGATTTACAGCAAAAATGTATTTATGAAAAAGAACAACCTCTGTTCTTGCAATTAAGTTGTTCCATTCGGTTTCAATCTAGATCCGGTCTTAGTAGCATCCCTGTGAAATCTCTGCCAACGTGTTTCATGGAAATTGTGAAGAAAATGGAAGATTACAAAGAAGAAGATATAGCTGACTTAAGTTTGGTTGATTTGAAAATCACACTGGACATTATTTGTTTAAATCTTCCAAGAGAAGTGTTGGAAATAAGTTTGGAACGGTATTCTGGTTTAAGAGCAACGTCATTTTGCAGTGGTTCGCCTATGGGTAGTTTGCGAACTGAAAGTGGGAGTAGCCTAGAGAATAATGCTAGAAACGAATTGTTTCAAGAAAAAATGTCTCACTTGCCTTTAAGCCAACATAACGCTATAAGCAATTTAAAAGACGAAATCGAGTGGCTTTTGCAGGATGAAACTGCAACCGCGTTTTTAGATCAACCTTTCATAAATGAGGATGTCTTGAATTTCGTTGCGAATCACGTTTCTGAATCAACCGACAGATTTAGCTGCAAAGTGGAAAAAGTTCCTTTACATTTTGTATTTTCTTCGGACGATAGCAAACCTAAGTTTATAAGCGAATTGAAGAAGCTTCAGATTGATAAGTATTGTATTCGTCAAGAAGGAAATCTGTTTTATTTTGTGAAGAATATGAAACAAGAATCGATCGACGTTACTCAAGAACAGTTTAGGAACGAAAAAATAGGATCAAAAACGAAAGATGGTGTGTATTTTCGTAGGAAACATTTTATATGCCATATTTTTGAACAAATAACGTAGTTAAAATACGTAATATATTGTAAAGAGGGTTTAAAGGGGATGGTAAATATTTATTTATTTAATAAGAAATTAACAGTGATAGAGTATGTGAGTAACGATAAAAGTACAAATTGTTACAACTTATTAGAACACTCAGCTTACACTTCTGCAGCAACTCTCTAATTGACAGCTCTCAACTCGACAACTCTGCTATTGACAACTCCCTTTCGACAACTCTCCACTGACTTAGCAACTCTCTAATCGACAACTCTCCAGTGACTTAGGAACTCTCTAATCGACAACTCTGCTATTGACAACTCCCTTTCAATAACTTTCCACTGACTTAGCAACTCTCTAATCGACAACTCTCAACTTGACAACTCTACTCTCCTCCACAACTCTATTATTGACAACTCCATTTCGACAACTCTACACTGACTTAGCAACTCTCTAATCGACAACTCTCAACTTGACAACTCTACTCTTCTCGACAACTCTGCTATTGACAACTCCCTTTCGACAACTCTCCACTGACTTAGCAACTCTCTAATCGACAACACTGCTGTTGACAACTGCCTTTCGATAACTCTCCACTGACTTAGCAACTCTCTAATCGACAACTCTGCTATTGACAACTCCCTTTTGATAACTTTCCACTGACTTAGCAACTCTCTAATCGACAACTGCCAGCTTGACAACTCTACTCTCCTCGACAGCTCTGCTATTAACAACTCTCTTTGGACAACTCTCCACTGATTTGGCAACTCTCTAATCGACAACTCTCAACTTGACAACTTTACTCTCCTCCACAACTCTATTATTAACAACTCCCTTTCGACAACTCTACACTGACTTAGCAACTCTGTAATCAACAACTCTCCACTGACTTAGCAACTCTCTAATCGACAACTCTGCTATTGACAACTGCCTTTTGATAACTCTCCACTGACTTAGCAACTCTGTAATCGACAACTCTGCTATTGACAACTCCCTTTTGATAATTCTCCACTGACTTAGCAACTCTCTAATTGACAACTCTCAGCTTGACAACTCTACTCTCCTCGACAGCTCTGCTATTGACAACTCTCTTTGGACAACTCTCCACTGATTTGGCAACTCTCTAATCGACAACTCTCAATTTGACAACTCTACTCTCCTCGACAACTCTGCTATTGACAGCTCTCTTTGGACAACTCTCCACTGACTTAGCAACTCTCTAGTCGACAACTCTCAACTCACCAACCACTGCTCACGACAACAAAACCCCGTAACTTAGAACGTCCTTGCCCTTTTATATTCTTCTTCCCACCATGCACACCATGCACGCGTTTTCCAATGCCTCACCCAACATGACCAAATATGATCGTGCTAAGGCCCTGACGCATCGCCCAGGGTTTTCCCGACTGACCTGACCTTCGACACCCTCGGTGACTTTCATAAAGCTACGTGTACATGCAGTGGAAAACTTGCGATACTACAATATAAACTACAAATTAGAAAACTAGTTAATTTTGGTACCATTGGTAACGTTTCAGGTAGTGGCACAGAAAACATGGATCAAGAGAAATTGCACGAAAGTACCAGTCATAATACAGAAAATAATCTCAGTACAGAATTGAAATCCCAAGAATCCAATCATGATGCTGTTAATTTAAATAACGAAAACGAAAATGTTGATAATGAATATAAAGGAAATAGTATATCTGAGAATAGATTTCAATGGCTGATAGACCTTGATAACCGTAAAAGTTCCTTACCCAACTTCTGGTTAATTTTAAACGTTGAGAATGATTATGTTAATGTATACTTTCACTGTAGGTAAGTAATAATTATTTTAAAATAAAACATAAATTATGTCTCGTATTTTAAGATACATTAATTGTATAGATTTCAATTTTTTACAATTTATTTTACATTTCATTGAACATACAACGAATAATTGAATACAAAATTTCCTAAGATTTTCTAGAATATTCTTCGTGAAACAGATGAATTTCTTTTATTAAAGTTGTGGCATTTCTTTTTGAAATTTAAATAGTAGAAGTATCTTCAAATATAGATTGCATATTCTACCTACTGTAAAAATTGTAATAATGGAATACAAAATTTCCTAAGATGTTCTAAAATATTCCTCGTGAAACAGATGAATTTCTTTTATTAAAATTGTGCTATTTCTTTTTAAAATTTAAATAGTAGAAGTATCTTCAAATATAAATTGTATATTCTACCTACTGCAAAAATTATCATTAACAAATATCGGTTTTCAAATACCACAGGTTTTTAGAAATCAAATCACCAGAAGTAAGCAGTTACTGGCATACTCAAAAAATGTTGGTCTCCCAAATAAAAAGTACCTGCCGTCGAGTAAATCAATATTTGCTTCTGCAACATCTTCATAAGACAAGTAAATGCTCGGAACTTCTGGAAACAGAATCAAGTGAAGACTACAATTGGAAATCACAGACGACAAACGAGTTCGGTAATGTGGTACAAAACAGAGACTCGGTGCAGAACTTCACCCCAGGAATGTTTCGATGTCGCGTCGTTTGGAAATTCACTTTTCAACTGCACCCTCGATTGAAAACCGGTCCAGGGAGGTCAGGGCTTTCCCGTGGCATAAAAGCTCTGCACGGTGTACTTAATAGGTTCGCTGTTAGCAATCGTAGCAACATGTTCGTATATCAAGAAAACAACAAAAATGTGTTTTACCTGAGATTACACGAGCAAATTAGCGATGGGAAAACTTTGCAGAACAAATTATCTGAAAGCGACGAACAACTGGTTGTTTCCCGAAGCAATAGTGTAGTCTCGTTATCGCAAGTTAAGCTAAACGAAAATGTCACGTCAAACGACACGAGACCTAGAGTTCGATCCTTCAGCGAGAAGGAGTCAAATGTTTTGAATAAAACCGAAGACTCGATCGTTTTAATGGTACATGGCATTTCCGATGCTGGGCCAGAAGTTAAACGCGACTTGGTACAAGTCCTGCAGAATCGCCTAGACGACGCAGTTTTAGAAGTTTTGACCGTCATGTTAGCGAGAAATCCAATGTGTAAATTGACACCTGCCGATGTTCATTTTATGCAGCCACCAAAATCCCCGGAGTCTATCATACGGCTAAATGTACAGAAACATTGCTACAACAACATAACTGCTTTAGAATTTTATTTGCGCCAAAATATACTTCAGTTCCTGTATATACCAAAATATACCGATAACAGGGTAGAATATCATTTCCAAGACTACTCGCAACTCGAAGGATCTACCAAACGAATTTCCGATTCCGATATTTTCTTGTACAACCAAAGTCATTCCAGTGGAAGCAAAGGGATCGCTTGTATAGCTTTGACTATCACAGGAGGACACGGTGATTTTATCAAATCGTTAGAAACCGAGCTTCCCGAAAGCTTCCCTGATGTGATAAACGTGAAAGATTTCGAAAATATCGTATCAACGTCAGTTTACGATAAAAACACCACAGAATCACCGCCGTTGATCGAATTTAAAATTTGGAAACAGGGCAGGGTGAATCTGGAATCTTTGCTACAGAAATTGTGTTCCGCGGTGAAACATGCAATTTGGGATTTGGTTACGGAATATAAATTTTTGTCCACTCCTTTAACCGAGCCATTTGCAAAACATAGTCAAGAGAAATCGGTTGAAATTAAGGAAAATCAGACTGCTAAGAGCGAAACTGTGCCCAAAATGATGCACGATCTGAGTTTTGATAAGTTCGAGGCAGGTGAAGAGGGAAAGTTACACAGTATCTATTGTGTAACATTGTCGCAATGGTTTCGATTTGCTTTGGAAATCGAAGTTCCATCGGTGAAGAAGCACGAAGTGATTCTGAATCACAGACATCCAATATTGACGATCATTACAGAATTGGAAAGTCTTATTCAAAATCAAGCACCGGATACTTTTAGCAGAGCATTCGTTTTAAAAGACAGACAACCCTTTATAGAGAAATATGTTTCAAACGATGGATTATTATTAGGACTGAAGAAAAGTAAATGTTCAGAGTCAAAGAATGCAGAAAGCTTGCCTCTCTATATACCATGTGATTTTACTAAGGATGTACAGGGAACTTATACCAAATGTATTTTAATAGCTAGGAATTTTCACCAATGGAAAGCCTCGTTCAGCAACACAATTCAACCAGAACTACTTATTCCAAAAGGTAATCACTTTTTTTTGTATAATGGGAATCAAAAGTTTGAAATTAAGGTATATATTTGAAAATGTAGTATATATTTTTCTACATAAGTTAATATATTATAAGAAATTATTTAATTATATTATATTATATTATAATTATATTATAATTATTTAATTATTTAATTATATTATTTAATTATAAGAAATTGCTAGGTATATTTTAAAAAACAAATAGAAGGAAATAATACTAAATGCTTGTATAACTAACATAAATAACTCTTTCTTAACTGTTGTACAAAGGCAAAAATGTGTTAAGTAATTGACTAACATTGTCAAAAATTCCCAGAAATGGAAGAATCCATTCCAAATTGACACTGTATAAATTGAAATTCTAAGCTCCCTAAATACAATAATGAAATCTCGATTATCCGGCCTCATTAGGACCAAAACAGGCCAAATAAATTGAGACCTACTGGATATCTAAGACATGAGCATAAAAATGTTGAAAATTGGAATCTTGTCCAATTCTTTCAAAAATTCTTTCAACTATCCTATCGTATTCAATTTTTCGCGATTTTTATTAACCGGCATTCGATCATTTGCGATTTTAATTATTCGCTATTGTCAAATATGTATGTACGTAAACTTATCTATTATCTTTACACGATGAGAGCAATTTCTCTAGTAATATTTTCTTTATTTCCGTCTCCTTTATTTTCTAACTATTAGCGAACAATTTTTGCAAATATCTCGGAAATTAAGGCCAAGCGACAATTATTGTTCAGATAAAAGTTGTTCAGAATCTCGTTCTCTATAACATGTTCAAAAATCATAGGGATCGAACTACTCATTCTGTAGTTTTTAACAATTTTATGTTTTTTATCAAAAAATTAGTAACTTTTTCAAACTCCCTAATCTATACTTATTGAGGCACAAATAAAGCCTTTTGTGGAAAAAGCGGAAAAAAGAACGCGTTTAGGGCAAAACCGCTAAACTGCATATTTACCCTAATTTTGTGTTATAAATTTAACAAAAGTAATATAACATCCACTTGTTTCTTTTTACTTATTCTTAACACGTTGACCGTCACGCAACTTTTCCAGTTTAAGAAGCCAATTTGATATAATCATGTTATATTATTAAAAACTTTATTTATGGTGCATAGTAATAATCAAAAAGATTAAAAAATATTTGTTTTTGAAGAAAAAAAAAACATGTTACGAATTATTTCGTAGTTGGCGTGCAAGGTTGTTTTAAAAATGATCACAAACCATAAAAATGTTATTCTGCATGAATAAACTTGTATAAACTTTTTCTTTTTGAATTATACTATAATTATACTACTGGTTTCTTCGTAGCTGTATACACATAGCAAGCAATGAAGGGACGAGATAACTCGTAGTAGGCATCCTGGGTAAGTAAACAACCTACGAGATATCTCGTAGTTGGCAGTCAACGTGTTAACCACTTGCGCTATAAAGACGTGCCACGCACGTCGAGATGATTTTGTTCCAAAGCCGCCAGCGACGTGTATACCACGTCAATGTAACGCCTTACCGCATGTTATATTGTAGAGCGCAGCACGGCAACCGAAAGTTAAATCGTAGCGCAAGTGGTTAACCCTTTCGCGACGAACGACGTATATATACGGCAGTCACTTTTGTTTCACAGCGGCTGACGCCGATAATGTGCGGTAGTCATTTATTGGTTTACAGAGGCTAATGCCGTCTATACACGGCAAATCATAATTATATTAATGTATTATTAATATGTATTAATATGTAAACTTAATAATTACTAATATATATGTATTAGTAATGTATATATTTATTTCAATAGCGAACTCAAAATAAAACTAGTACAGGCATCAGGCAAAGCAGAAAATGGGGGCGAAGTATGGTACAGGTGCGCCGTCGCGAAAGGGTTAACCCACTTGTATCATGACTCTACTTAACACTTTATCGACCGGAAGCCTATTAATCGGCTTTTGGTCGCCGATGCTTACCGACCGATAGCTTATTAATCGGCTTTGGGGTACATTGCTCAGTTGCGTTAGTTGCGTTGCTTTGTAAGCTCCCACACTGTTGCGGCCCTAGGACCGCGATGTTCCAGGTCAAGTGGAGGACTGTTTTATGTCCTTAGTGTCTGTTTTTTTTTCAAATTTATCTGAGCATACGAAACGCACAGATCCTCCGATGCGACAGTCTAAACCGAAACAGAGCCGGCGCCTGGGAGAATCTGCGGCTGAGCGGCTGGTCGGAAGTACTCACGTATACCGTTGAAGCGCTAGCGTCGGTAAAGTGATAAGTTGCCGTATCACTAGCCCCTATCACCGCGCGCGTATCAGCACCTACTCATAATGGCAGTTAAAAGAATTTTCACAATAAAAGTAAAACTTGCTAAGAATATAATGAATCGATGTAGATGAGATGCTCGCAAAAGGGATCAAACGTGATCTGTGGCAAATGAAGAATATTCAACAACTGGTAATGGAAAAAGTCAGCTCGCGGATTATTCCGCGCTCGGTGATAGGCGACTGCCGTAGCTCGCGGAATATTCCGCGCTCGGCGATAGACGACAGTCGTAGCTCGCGGAATATTCCTCGCTTGGATGCAAATGGGTTAATAATGTATCCACGCTGAGAATGTAATAATTTAATAGCTGTTAACCGTATGATACTACGATACAATTATGCGCCAAAATTTCGTAAAAACTTCCCAGTTATTTCTGAGAGAGAATATTAATAATTCAACAATAATGAGTTTATGAAAATTGATTAGGAAAAAATTAAAATTTCGATTAGCAATTGGCTAATCGAATACTTGAAATTATTCTACGTACTGGCTGTATTATTACTGACTGTATTCATTTCAACTCACAAAATTTGATGAGAAAATAATTCCTCATCGTGGTTTAAAATTGAAGCGTTTTTTTTTTTTTTTGTTTTTGTAAATTTAATTCCTTTTTCAAGGAATAATATTTGCATAGTTGTCAAAAAATAAATTATAGCTTTTATGACTTTTTGCACTCTGAAGGCGACCCTAAGTCACCATTTAATCAAATTCCGAAGATGGATGTTAATGAATATAACAAATTTAAAATAACGTAACAATGCGTGTAATGTCGAAATAAAATAATTCTGCTTGTCAATTTGTACCCAATTTCTTATTTATTGTTTTCAAAATATCGTCGACTTTGTAGCAAAAAATCTTCGAATTGCTATTTCTCCGTAACGAAAAACTCATCGAGTGCAAATTTACATGTATCCTTTGAGATATATATTTTAAGTTATTTCTGATAATAATATTTAATTTTCTTTAATTATCTTATCTGACATCTTTTAAAATTATTGTTTGTTATAGGTCAGAAACTGTTGCAAAAATTTAATCCTTTGATATTGGAATCTAATTTTGTATCAAGGCAGCGAATATTACTTGCTGAAATCCGAAGTGACAATGTAAGTAGTAACATAAATTCTTAAGCTGATGTTAAAATAATAGTGATCAAAGAGATAAATATTTTTGCTGGCGACGAAACCTTTTTCTAATATACATATGTTTTTATAAATCTAAAATACATATTATCCGAAAGACGATGAAAAAATTGCAAAAAATAAGAGTAATTATCAATATAATCACTTGTTTAATCGTCGTTATTTTCTAATGATGATCTATTTCAGAAATAATCATTCAAGACCAAACCATTATCGTTTGTTTTCTTTGTTTACAATAGTAGGAATTGTTTAATTGAAATATTTGTTTAAAAAATACTGATGTTATGTTAAATTAATAAATATTAAATATCATTGTTTGCATTATAGAAAATTTTAAAATGTTTCAATGGATGATAACCAAAAAATACAACATAAAAATTCAATTCTTGTTTCTCACTTGAGGGAGTATTCTGGTTTATAGAGTCAAAATAGGCGATTTTCTTTTTTTTTTTCTTTTCTTGATATTTGAACTTAGGAAACATGTATGCAAACCCATTTGATAAAATTCGTAAAATTAGGATAGAAAACCTATTACTTGGATACGGGTAGATCTTGATGACTTGCTACAACATGCATATGTTATGAGATTTTTCGTTTTATCACGCTCTTTATGTCCATAGTGGTCTATAAACAAAGCATTGGTCTATTATAAATTAGTTATTCTCCACGAATACGAAATATGCAAAATTATGAAACGGTACAATAAATCAATCAAAATTTGAATATTTATACCAAAAATTTTAAACGCATTTTTCTCGAAACAATTTTTTAAACTAGCTGACGGATTATTTCACGTTTTAGTTGACCGATTGACTTGAAATTTAGAGATCTTCACCGGATGTACCCTTATCACATGAACCACTGATTTCAAAATCTGATGTTTTTTTTTATTTTTATTTACCACCTAAAAGATGAAAAGCTCAAGGAAAATCAATGTTTAAATTTCAAAATGCGGCCATTTTTTAATTCTCAAAATTTCACTGTTTCTGTAGTTCATGCTGTATCTGTATTTATACTAATTAAAATGTGTAGGAAAGAATTTTAGTAACTAGGCGCTTTACTCCTTCGTAACTATTACTTCCATATGCCGGCGGGTAGTGTTCTAAAAACGCATCCTTCGCTGTTTTATAGGGCGTGTCCCCTCTCCGTCGCCTCCCCTCTCCGTCGTCTCCCCTCTCCGTCGCCTCCCCTCTCCGTCGCCTCCCCTCTCCGTCGCCTCTTCCGCTGAGCTCCGGTCCAGACGCCTCCGCTTGGCGTCTAAGCATCCCAACCTGTGGCTGTTGCTATTGGACTTAGCGATGCCTTCCTAGAACTCCAACGAAGAGCTTTTTCCCGCCGAAAGACAATGGGCAGCGGTGAAACTTGCCCACAGATGTTTCTTTGTTTTTTCCATTGAAATAACCAGATGGGCCATAATCATGTCAGCCATTCGAACCTGCTTTTAAAAACATGCTTTATCTAAGAGTATATAATTTACATAATTTTCATTAATTTCGTTAAAAAAAAGATTATAAATATTCTTTAAGTGTAAATAAATCTGAATGCGAAAACTGCAGACCAAAACATATCATGGTTTGCTTAGAAAAAAATCTCAAAGAAGTCGATTCTTATAGGTCTAGTTACCAGAATACTCCCTTAAATCCCTCTCTGGTTTAGTTTTTGATATCATAAGACACTATTCATTTCATTTGACTTTTCTTTCCGAAATATTAATTTAGAAATCTCAATATGGTATGTTTCGAGTTAGAACAATTCTTTTTATGAACATTCATATTTTTAACGGATGCCTCTACCGAACGATTTTCTTGAAAAAAAGAATCAATTCGTGTTAGAGCTTTAATGAGTATAAGTGTTATGTTTAAAATTTTTATACGAATAATTTTTCATATTTATAAAAGTAAAGGTGACGTTTCTTTCGAATACTTTTAATTTGTTGGTTGTTGTTCTGATGTAACAATAATTTTATAATTTTTTGGATGTGCCTGATGCCAATCTACGATTAACTTGCCAGGTGATTTCTTGAATGATTATATTCAAGACGAATCTTCATCAAAAGAAAATAATGGCAATTAATTCTTATTTTATTTGCCTCGACTATCGCTTCTCAAATAAATAATTATGTATTTTAGGTTCCTCAAGTCCCATGGGAACATATTTTGCAAAAACCTTTCGTTGCCAGCCAGGTCTAAAATTGGTCAATTTCAAACATTGATCTTTTATAAAACAACTAACTCATTGTACCACATGGACCATAAAAAATATATCACAGTTAAATTTTGGGAAAGATAAAAACTTTGTATCTATTCTTAAAATATATCATTTTAGAATTATAAATTTGAATTAAATTTAAATATTTGAAAATGTCTAATTTTCCATTAATTTTCATTATTCCATAACGAACTATATCATTAAAAAGATGGAATAGAAGAATACTTAAAAATTATTTAAATTCGAATAATTTGAGAAATTATATACAAATTATGAATAGTTAATTTTGAAATAATTGAACTAGAAATATTAATCGCAATCAAAATTCGTAATCTACAGCCGAAAAATCAAAAAATTATTTGATATTTTTACAATTTCCTGTTTACTACTTCGTTTTTATAGCTTTCTGAAAAATTATTTGACTTCAACATAATAACCTATGAGACATCTCTTAAAAAATTATTTATATACTTTTTGAAACCATTATATCTTTCAAAACTGATCTTCAATAAATGAAAGATCTGGTTCTAAATTTCAATTTTATAAGCCGATTAATTTTTTTGTCTCATAGTTACTTAAATTCAATACATAATAAGTTTCCATAATTTTATACTATATTAAATGGAATTTTATAATTATAAATAATTGAAAATATATTGTTTTATTGTTTCATTAATCATAATTTAAATTACTATCACAGATAACACTTTATATGTATAATTGGTCAAAAGAAAAATCAGAAAAATTAATAAAACAAACCACCAATTTGGGTACGTGGCTGTCATCAAGATCTAACTTCTTTACAAACGTAATAATGCAGAAATTAGGAATATTTCATCACCGACCAAGTGTGTCAAGGGAGCATGCAAATTCACAATACCTTCAAATTATGGATATGGAAAGTTTAACAAAATTTTCTGCTATACCACATAACGATGGAAAAGATTGGACCAGATTGAATAACAGGACTCAAAATATAAAACATAATCAGTATTCTTGGAACGAAGTAATAGGTCAAACAATGCGTGATGTAAAACCTAATAGTTATTTTCACAGCAACATGGACCCAACAGTGAAAGCTGTTTGCGATTTACAAGACTTGCGATCTCGTGAAAAAAAAATAAAAGGTATATAAAGGGGGAAATATAATTTCATTCCAATAATTAATTAAAGTTACTCTGTGCTATTTTCTGTATCTATAATAGTAAATATAAAATATTGATTTGAATTAAATTTGAATAGGATGATTGAATTTTAGAAATATACTTATATACTACATATATACTTACAATTATTTTTCAATTTTCAGAAGATTTAAATAAGTTATGCGCAATGTGGCAAAGCCGTAGTGCTGCTCCAAATATTCCAATTTCAACCACTGCTTTAAATACATTCAAACAATACTCACGTTTAATACATTTTTGTCACACGCCATTATTATTTTTACCTTCATGGCGTTTACAATCTGCTGCTACAAGAGATCACTCACTTACAGTGCAATCATCCTTAAATACAGGCATCAATGTATATCATCAACTATCACAGCAAATGCAAAAGAATCAAGATGAACAAGCAGATATTGTGAAATGGCATAAAGAATTATGCAGTTTAATGTTATCTGAATATAAGCAATATCTTCATTCGTTAGGCTTTAATTCTGTACAAATAGAACCATCTGATAAAAGGTAAAATTCTATTAGATATTAAAATTTCATTATATTAGGTGCAATTTGATGAAATTTGTTGTAGATATTGCAAATTTATTCTTTATTTCTTTAATAACTTACTAGAACTAGAATTAATTAGAACAAATAATATGGTGTGTTTTTTAATTTGAGAAAATGCTTTACTTTACCAAAATTTGATCTCAAAATTTCAATTTTCAAAATCTTAAAGTGAGAGAGGTGTTTTCTAAGTAGGATGTATTAATGCTGCATATAAAAAGACATCTTTCATGTGTTCATATTTTTACTCCTATATTTACATATTAATATTTATGCTTAGAAAGCAGTAATAGTAATTTTGTTTATCTAGAATATTTCTGTTAATTTTTGTTATTGCTAACTTTTAAAATTAACATAAATTTTCTGGAAAAATAAAATTATGTTATAGAATAATATTCATGTCTTTAACTACTTATTAATACTTTCCAGTTTTGAGGAACAAGTTCAACAACAATCCTACTATCTTAAAAAATCAATGCTGGGAGGAGTACTATTATTTGAAATTCACTTATCACAGCCATTTTTCATTGTTAAATTACATATTATTGAATGCAGTCGACTTCAAACAAAAGCTAGTAGTGCTCTAGTAAATCAAGTAAGTTTTTTGATCTTTTTTACATTTTTTTATGAAGTGATTTTCAATACTAAATTAAATATGTTATGAAACTTATTATAATTTCTTAAAAATTGTAATTTCATGTATATTTAATAACGCCATTATATTGTTACTACTACTTATTTGTGCATCCATATTTCTTTATTTTTTTAATATAAAGATCTTAATTTATACTAAAATCAAGAACTTAATATGATACTTTATTATTAAAAATTATGCAAATAATTATTTGTATAATTTTTAACTTTTATGTTTTACTTTTCTTAATTAAAAAATTTAATAAAATTTTAATTTGTTACAGTTTATGCTAAGTTTTGTGGATGCATGTGACAAAATCAAAATTAGTATGCATCTGCATTCGTTTACATATGATTTTCATTTACGTTGCATCCATTCATACATAGCTGGGACTGGACCTTGGTTAGTGCAGCAGGGGTATCATCTCATTCATTTCCTTGATGACTTTAATAAATATTATAGCAAAGCACCAAATTATGCAAGAAATCTTATATATAGTGGTAAGTGAAATAACATAATTTTAAATTGTTTTAAGTAAGTTGATAAATCATTTAATTGAAAATTCATATTGAACTGAACACAGTATTCTTAAAAAATAATTTAAACGCTTATGAAAGTATATAAAATAGTAAGTAGATAATTACTTACAATAATTTATGTTTTAGATGTAGTGACTATTCGCAATTTAGCGATATCCGGTCGGACATTATATTCTTATTTATTATCTCATGAGAAGACTTATAACATGCGTGTATTCGTAATGAAAAATGATCACCAAGATTCTGAAGAAAGTGAATATGTTTTAGTAAGTTTGAAGAGCACTCCTTTGATTAGTTATTGTGACGCACATGATACGAAGTATGCCGATGATTTCGATGTTGCTCTCATCGTATCACATCTTGAACAACTCCCACATGTGGATAAAACAGAAATTATTTTAAAATATTATTTAATGTTAACAAGCAAACGAGAATTATATCCAAAAAGAGAGGTAGAAAATAACAAACTAGGAAAGTTTCGTACGGTATACAATATCGACAAGTCTACAAATACCTATACTGAACCTGTTACTGATACTCCAAATGAATCTTCTTCGGATTTTCAAGAATATAGACAAGATTCAAATGATAAGAAAAATGATTCTAAATTATACAGTTCTAATATGGGTACTAACTGTAATAGCACAGGTGCACCAACGCCACCACCAGTACCTAATTCTCCATTAACTCAAAATGTAAATCCTCCAAATGTCTCAGTGAATTCTCCATCTCCACACTTGATTCAAATACGGCAAGAGTCGATTAATTATCTAGGTTATTATTCTTCACACGAACAACTAATGCAACAAACAATAAAGTCTCAAGCAAATGCAGCTCGCATGCATATAATGAATATGATAAAACGTGGCGCATTACAATGCAGAACACATCTCCTTTGGAATAAACTATTAGAAAGTAAATCTGCAATGAATTATATAGAATTTTCCGAACTTTGTTCTTTGGCTCATGTTGAACCTTTGTCAAATTTGGATCCAAGATTAAGACCATTTATTAATCAACCAATTTCTTGGTATCAAACTTTATCAAAAGTCTTGCAAAATAAATATCAAGAACATCATAAACAATTCAATACACCAGATGGAAATATTACTCATTTACTTATATTGCATCCAAGCTTTTTCCAAGTTTTTATGATGTTGACTATAGATTTACATGCTTCACGAGGGGTTTGTATTGTCTTTTATATAAATACTACTTATGTGTAAATATATTTAAAATGCAGAAGTAAATAAGATATTAAAATTTTCTCATTAGATAGCATGTAATTACAAAGAGTACACTATTTTATAATCTGTATATGCAAATTAATATAAAAATAAGTATAAGAAGGTGTTATTATATGATTTTCAAATGAAGTTAGCAGTTAAAATTTGTTTTTTACAAATAACAGAATCATTATCGTTATGATAACTATTACTACTTTTACTTGCCAAGTGTTGAATACCATTAAAATACTTTAGTAAATGTTAGACATGCTTAAAAAATGTCTAAATTATGCACTCTGCTTTAAATCAATAATTGCAATAAAGCTATATAGAAATGTATACATTTAACTTTTTCATATTAGAAAGTGTTTAGACATGAATAGAAAGCATTCTATTCCTATTTTCCTAGTATTCCTATTTTCCTGGCATTATTCTATCTATTTTTGTATGCAAAAATGTTCGCAAACTCCAGTATATAGTATTCTATTTAATTTCCACAAACTTAATTTTAATAAAAAATAAATATATAAAGTTATCTTAATAAGTTTATAATTAAACTTATTAATAATTTTTCATTTATTCTTAGGACTTGTATGCAGTTTATTGTAAATCAGAAGAAGTGATTCCATCTCCAACGCCATGCTGTATAGAGGATACTTATAATCTAATAGAAGGATTTGTAAATGCTTGCTGTTTCCATTTATGGATGAGTCTCTACAGTTAATAGTAATTACACATTCCAAAAAATCAATTTTCCAAGTACTTACTACTTTTATGTGGTAACATAATATAAATACAAAACTAATTATATTATTTTGAAACATTATGTATATTTTCGTCGTTTGTTATATTATGCTGTATTTCATTGCTGTAATTTGTATAAAAAAAAATATATTTTTTCTAATTTCCAAAAATTTACATATATAACTTGACCCTTTGTTAAAAACCATAAGTTTTACTTTAAAGTTGACACTCCTGTACTAAATGAAATATTTAAAATGTAAAATATGTATTTGAAAATTAAATAGTCTTGATGGACAAGATTTACTTATTAGATTAGTTTCATTATTTGTAGTTTTGTAGTTTTAACTTTAAAATAGTTTTTTCAAGTTAAAAGTTTTTTACATTAATGAATTTAATTACTTTTTTAATAAGTCATGTTTATAATATTATTAATGTTTAAAACAATACCCACGTAACTGTTTTATGTAATACATTATGAATAAAGACCCAAAATAAAACTATAAACAACAATTTTACATCCAATATATGAGATTGTACATCCAATTATTTTATATTTATTGAAGGGAAATACACATGGTGCGTCAGTCACAAATTAGTTCCTATGATTTTTTAAACGAAAATATCTTATTTTAACTAAAAGTTTCCATGATGTTTTTAAATGAAACTATGTACTTTTAACTCGATAGTGTTGTAAACGATATTGAGATAAATTGAACGACTTGCTATTCAACAGTTTAAAATAACCTTGAATTTAAAAAAATCGTTATAAATCGATTATCACGATATTTGAGTTAATTAGATAACACATAATATCGATATATTACAACGACATTTGAGGCAAAAACAAATGAACGTACACATTAAAAAAATATCTCTCAAGTCTTCTTCATATTGTTTTACTTGAAACAGTTTTTATGAAAAATTTATCATCATTACAGTTATTTTGGAACTACCTTACTCTTGAATTTAAAATCTTCTTTGTACCACTTCCATTTTTATTTTCTGCTTTTCTTTACCAATTTTTTAATGATATTTTTTGCGATATTAAAATTTTCTTCTACTATTCTACCTATTTTCTTATGAAACTTGTCACTTTTCCATTGCAAAATAGCAAAATTTTTCACTTTTACAACTGTTGTTTCTTTGCCTTTATTACTCATTGGAATATTGTATAAATCGTGATTAAATTATAACGTTGCACATCAACAATTATCAATGCACCGAGGAATCTTACATCATTTTTATAGGAAACAAACACATTTCGAGATCTTTTTTAATTTATTGTCAAATAATGCAGACTGTGCCAATAATTTTGTGAAATCAGAAAGGCACATTTTATGTTATTTTATTTTCATTTATTGATAACAAATATTATTATTCACTTGTATTATTGAGGTAGCTGAAAGTGCGATACATACGTACTACAAGAAAATGTATTAAAATTACTCGCGGCACATTACTCGCAATGTTTCAAATATAACTGAAAATCATAATTCTACTGTAAAATAATATTAATTACTAAAACCATATCTTAATGTCACTTAATATTACTTTTATATTGTTGTATCGAAATCTAAACGATCTACACCTATACCACAAAACTATAATAGGTTTTCATTTTCAAAGTTCTATTTAAGTAAAAAGATTAAATTATTTAATCAAATAAACATAAATGAGGTCTAAAATATTGTTATATTTTAATTTTTGGACAATTTTTAAAAATTTGGACAACTGTAAAAGATTTGCAATTTCTTTTTAATCATTCTTCAGTTGGTATATAGACTTTTTTATTATGTGCTGAAAATGTATAATACGAATCAAAATAATAGCATATAATTTCCAGTTTTTAAAACAAATGTGATATATGTATATGTTATATATGTACATACTATATATAATGTGTCCGGTCTTTGATAATCAAAGAAATATTAACTATAGTTTATATTTCTTCCTACAAATTTTACTTGTTTATGTGGAAAATGACCCCAATAGAATGATAACACAGATACCAAAAAATAGATTAACGAGATTTTGTTTTTTGACATTGGAAAGACTTCTATATTTTCATGAGCTGAATTTGAAAATGGAAAGGTTTCTTATATATTTCATGTGTTAGATTCAAATCTGACAGTAAAAACAGCTTATCATTTTCGGTTTATTAAATAAATAAATAAAAAATATCGATTTTTCCTATTTTTACAAAAATATTCTAAAAATAGTAATTTTATTTTGATATCGTTATTATCTCCTTGCTATAGTACTAACTTTCCCTTGTGAAATCAAATTTGATTTATAATGGGGCGATTTTTTTTTTACCAATATACCGCTTTGAAGATATTCGATATACTGTATGCAAATAGACTCACGTGTTGATTGTACCAAAAACTATGATGTAAGATTGTAACATAACCTATATTATACTTATTCCTGTTGAAGTTAGGTCTTGAAATTCAGTTTAATATTTTTAAATAACAATGACCGCTGAAAATGAAAAATGTGAAAAAAAGTCCATTTCTGAGGAAAATCATACAAAAGCAGAAAATATCAATAATTTCCCACAAAGGAAGGAAAATGTACAACCTCGTAGATGGTATGAGAAAATTCTTTTCTATGAAAAGAACGAACAAGTTCTTAAAACAAAATGTGAAATGAACGTTGCGAAATGTGTGAAAGAGAGTAAGATTTTTATATTTCTATTTCTATTATATTTTCTTACACTGATTTAGTACACAATTTTATATCACTTGTTAAAATGCATGCTTAGTTTATTAAATTAGATTGTTTTTCAGATACAGTAATGTTCGATATAATCACATTAGAAAAATTAATGAAAAAATAAATTTTTTTAAAATTGATTATATAATTTTTTATATTAAAAAAATATAAATTTTGTAATAATTTATAAAACTCATATCTTAATGTATAATTTAATTTGTATAAACAAATATTAACATATATGCATGTGATTATATCATTTATATATATATAAGATACTATGTATTATTTAAGAAATGAAAATATATGTATATATTTATATATATATTCTAGGTCCTATAGTTAAGCTAATGTTGAATGCCTTAAAGAGTTCTGGATGGTAGGTAAAATATTATATATATAATTTTATCTTATATTAACACTAGAACTACTATGGGGGTCAAAATGACTTGTTTTGAGTACTTTATTTTTGTGATTGCTGAAAATATGTAGCTGTTTTAGGCAAAAAATTATACTGATTTTTGTTCAAATAGGGTCACAATTACATATGCTCTTTTATTTTCATTATATTATATTAATTAATACCCATTGCATACATTACAGTTAGATATACATTATACAGTGGTAGTTTCAGTGTTAGTCATTATAGAACATAACGTACAATATATGAAGTATATGAATTTTTAGAAGTATTAGTATTGTATCAATATAAAAATGGAAAATTCTAAACCTATGGGGAAATAAGACATTTTTAATAAATATGGTTACTTATAAGTTGAAGTTAGATATTCTGAAATGAATTTATATATTAAAAAGGAAACTATACGGAACATAAGAATAGATTAAATGAAAAAATATATTCCACAAATTTTTATTCATTTCATTGATGTTAATATTATATTATAAATAAAAGTAAATAATTGATTCATTAATTCACAGAAAAAAGTATATCAGTATGAAATATTCATTAATAATATTGTACTATTAATTTCATAATATTGCAAAACATAATGTTCATTCTACTAAATTTTATTTTGTACACATATTGCAGATGTATTTTATTATGATCATCTAAATAATAAAAGAGAAAGTAAAGTACTTTTACAAAAATATTTTAAATTATAACAGAATGAAATTAATCAAAAATTCAAATTTTCAATGATATGTTAGATTTTTCATTTATATAATTATTTAATCCAATAATTATGCAAAATGGTAAAAAATTGAATTAATATAAGTTTTTCTTGTTCCTAACTTCTGTTATATATTTTATGAATGTAACAAAGAAAATATTAGAAATGTATAAGTTATAAAATGATTTTATTTTGTTTAGGAAACAGTTTGCAGTTGGCAAAACTCCATCATAATATTAAATATTCATTAATATTTCATATAATTTTAAAGATTCATTGATTTTTATGAAAATTTAATAAGGAATAAACTAAACTAAAGAACCATAAGTTGGAAGGTTTATGTTAACTATTTATTAAAAATTTTTTACGATTATTAACAGAAAATAATAATAAATATATATCTATAACATACAACTTTATTATATATATATGTATATTTCTAAAAAAAGAATTTAAAATTAACTTAATATTACTAATATTTTATTGCAATTTTGTAGATGTCTAATATCAATGTTTTTGCTACTAAGTAGTATTTTCAAAAGGCTTTGTATGATTGACCAAGTCAATATGTGAGTTATTAATTGTACTGTAAGTGTGAAAAATGATATAGTTAATTGAATTTAAAAAATTGTTTGTAAATTTTGAGAGAATAAATGTATAAAATATACATATAAATTTTAGTGATTGTATAAATTTCTTTCTTTATGTCTTTTAAAAGAAACATTTTACTTACAATGACATATTTAACCTTCAAGAAATTTGAAGACAAATCTTTGAAGTCTTATTAACCCTCGCATAGCGTACTGTAGTGCAATGGCCGGGTCACGTCTAACCCATGTATCGGACCCACCATCCGTATATACGTGTTCAGTGTTTGACTGGGACGCGTGCATATAAGAGCTTCATTTCATTCCCATTGATTTATTAATTTTTTGATTATTGCTAATATTGCCATAGTGCAAGGTGATAGGGGACAAAATATTATTTATTTTTCCTATTTATAGTAAGTGTCCCCTAAAAAATGGCTTCGCTAAAGTAATGGTTATAAATTATGCTACATTTGTATGACAAAGAACTTTTTTTTTGTACGTACGCTACAAAAGAAATAGTAAACAATACTAAAATACTATTAATAATATAATATATTATACAATCAAAGAACAGATAATAATATAATGTAATATTTATACAATACTGAAATAGTGTACTAACAAACACCCATATGTTCGCTATGACTGTGTCTTCCGCACTGACTCGCATGTGAAATGCTTCAGCATTTCGAATCGCTGAT